ACCACCACCACCACCACCACCACCACCACCACCACCACCACCACCACCACCACCACCACCACCACCACCACCACCACCACCACCACCACCACCACCACCACCACCACCACCACCACCACCGACACTCAGGCCTATCACCACTTTGGTATGTACTCGGAGGTGCTATGTCTAACTCACGTGAATCGTCAGGTGTCAAAAAAGTGAAGAGAGAATGACACCTAGACCGAGCAGTACAAGCGTTGTCTACGTGGCAGTGTCACCGCATGCCGCACTGTGATTGGTCAGTCGCGTGCATACAAAGTGAGCGTGCGCACTCGGGAATGCGCGCCTGCTCGCGTAGTTATCGATTTTGTGGTCCGACATGCGCATCGCTGCGCCCGCCGCCTTAACTCGCCCCGGCTTCAACCCGTGATATCCAAGGTGATGGGGAAAAACTGATTACTCTACCTTCTTATTGCCTTTATGTTTGATCTTTTCGCATGCTTTGATGGCAAGTAGACTAGTGACATGAGGTGATAAAGGCATTTGTTGTAGACGCTTTATTTTTGTTTTTTTGCGGGTCGCGTCTTGAAGGTGAATTTTCAGCTTTGGCACTCCACTCCACCCAACCGCACCCCTTTTTGCTTCATAATTTAATTGACAAGTTCACTAACTCTTAAAATGCCTTATTATTCCCTTTTTTGCTGTATTTAAACATCTCTTACGATCTATGAGAGAAAAAAAGCAACAAAAGCGGCAAATTAATAGCTTAACACCACCTGGATGGATTTGTAGTGAAAGCTTTCTTCTGCCAGACAACAGTACCGGGAAAGGTATTTGAACATCAATGAGTCCACTTTCCATCCCGCACCGAGGCCAAGTCCAAAGAGCCTTCACTTTGTACTTAGAATTCCGAGGAAGTTTCGAGGGGAGTGTAAGGCTGCCTGCTACTAAACTCCTGGCTTTCAAATCCGAGAGCAGAGAGGAGTGCTTTGTGTGTGCTAGACAGGCGTGCACTTGGTTCCGCGTTGAAAGCACACACTGATAGAAAATCGCTATCGAGGCGCCGCAACGCCAGCGCCATGCACAAAGTTTGAAGGAAAATTACCAAAGAAGGGGCATGTCTAAAGGACTTAATCGCTCCACACGTATTGTTTATAGCGATGCATTTTTGAGTACGTCACACATACGTGACACGTGCCTGATCAATCAACATTTCAACCGGATGCACTGAATTGTATCACAAGCTTACCAGATGTGTACAAGGTTAAGCAAAATATTTTTTTTGAGATATGACGGTCAATAAGCCTCTGATATACTGATGACAGTTGACAGAACGGGAGGAAAATGTAAAAAAAAAAACGCAATTTGGCCAAAATTACACATTTTTAAGAAAAACTATCTTTTCTGAGGTGATGTCGACATGCTTCCCCGTTTCCTTATCGATTATCTGTTATAGAAAAATCGATAAAGAGCTCGACTGGGGGCAGAGTGGTGCTACCGCTTGACGAAAAAAAGTCGATAACTTTTGGTAACAGTACTCACAGAGCACTTGCTGAGGCGTCGAAAGCGCTGCAGGTGTCAAATCCCACCCCAACTCGTCATCTCGGACAGTTTAGATAAATACGAAGAACTGAAGACGTCAACGGTTAGCTGAACGAAAAAAGGGGACTTTTAGAACTACCCAGACCTCATGACCGGCGCCAACACGTCTAGCACGTTTGCAAGGCCCTCGATTAAGAGCAGACACACCAGACCCGGTCTGAACACAGCCCAGTAACGCTGTGTCCAAGCCTATGCCATTAGTCACCGATGAGTCATCACAGCCGGGGTACAAGATGGTGGGACAGCGTTGGACCACTTTGGGCAACTGGTTTATTCGCTTCCTCAACCTCTTCATTTTAAGATGTCAATTACTGTGGGAGTACGAATTAACGGCTAAAAGAGGACTTTATTCGACTAGTAAACTGACGATTGGGATCGGAGGAACACACACGGGAAGGACGGTGAGGGATTAAGTCGCCCTGGTTTACTTGAAGGAAGCAAGAGCAACCTCCCGTTCATCAACTAGCTCGTCAGCACTGAGATTGAAGAGACTTCTGCTCCATTCATCCATGGACAGACCATCTACCACCTTGTAGTGTCCATCCTTGATGGTAACTGGAAAGCTGAAGTAGATGTCCTTGGGGGCACCATAGTGATCACCGGTGCTGTAAACAGACATGGAAACCCATTCACCCTCCTTGGTGCCAAACCACCAGTCGCGCATCTGATCGACAATTGCCTTGGCGGCCGATGCGGCGCTACTGAGTTTTCGCAAGCCGATGACCGCGGCACCACGATTTTGAACGCATGGAGTGAACACCTCCTTCACCCACTTTTCATCGTTGATCAACTCCTTAGCCGGGTGCTGCTTCCCATCCTTGGTGACAACGGCGTGAGACAGATCGGGGAATTGCTTATTGCTGTGGTTGCCCCAGATACATACGTTCTTCACACACGTGTTGGGAACTCCAGCCTTGGCAGCGACCTAGAAGACACAAACAAGAGCGATTAAGCGTCTCGAGGGGAGGGGGCAACTAATCCTCCACTTGATCAATTTTCTCACCTGGTAGATGGCGCGGTTATGGTCCAGACGGGTAAGGGCAGTAAAGTTCTCTTTCGGAATGGAAGGAGCGTACTTGCTCATGATGAGACAGTTAGTGTTAGCAGGGTTGCCCACGACCAACACCTTAACAGTCTTCTTGGCGTACTTATCGAGGGCCTCACCTTGCTCCTTGAAGATCTTTACGTTGGAGGAGAGAAGGTCTCTGCGCTCCATACCCTGTTTGCGCGGCATAGCACCAACCATTAGAGCAACGTCGATGTCAGTGAAAGCCTCCTTAAGGCAGTGCGTGGGAACGATACCGGCCAGAACGGTAAAAGCGCAGTCCTGTAACTCCATCACAACTCCATCGAGGACCGTCTTGGCTTCGGGGATATCGAGGAGGTGGAGAATGATCTGCTGGTCTTTGCCGAACAGATTACCGTTGGCAACCATGTTGGAGAGATTGTAGGCAATTTGGCCGGCGGCGCCGGTGACGAGAACCCTAAGAGGACCAGGCTAAAGTAAATTAGTGGGCAATTAGGAACGACACGCCAACCTACCATGACGGAGCGCAAGCTGTCGAAAAGGACAAGACGGACGGGACGGAAGGCAGATTATATACCCCAGAGTTTGTCAAGGTTGCATTTTGATACAATCTGCGTATTTAAAGGAGGATGAAGATAACAAGACAAAATATGGAGTTAATCTTTGCAGAATTTTTAAGTTTTTTATTATAAGATGCGACATTTTAAACGAAATGTGAGTGTTTGGCATTGCAAAGCAAAGAAATTTAAGGAGCATGGCCTAGTACCTCGATCAAATGAAAAGCAAGCATCATATTTCTTCAAAAGGAAATGTGTGCAAAAGCTAATTTAGAAGAATTGGAAACATTTTGTGCCACAAATTTAAGATGAACTAAGATTTCTCTCAAAGCTGTCATCTGTATTATGAGTGATTTTCTCACCTAATAGTTCATACTTTTGGCAAACGTTTCCACCTCTTTTGTAAGTGAAAAGAAATGCCAAGTTAGTTGATTCGCCACCCATGCTGTTAGGTGTCCGGGATTCATTGCGTGATATTTTTGACTTTATATTTCGTTTTACCCTTTTTTTTGTCTCTTATTTGCGAGGCTGCGACAAAGTGCCGGAGTACATGTCACGTCAATAGAAAACTATGTTTGCAAAGAAGTTCTAATTGTATCTTGACATTTATGACGACCAAATCTTGCCTGCTGTTTCAGCCGTCTCCAGCACGTTTACATGAAGTCATAAGAGTTAGTAAGCGGCAAGGCACTCTCTGTCACCAAGTGCATTTTCATTTGTCTAAATAAACAACCTGGAACAAATAAGGTGGTCATAAATATTAGCTGCGTCACAGAATCGTCCAAGGGGTACTTAATCTCAGCTCCGTGTTGTGTGCACGTTTAAAAAGAAGTCAGAAAATAGACGCAAGCCCCTCAAAGTGAATCGCCATGATACCTGGAGGCACTTTGTCATTCCCACTCCCATCAATGCTTTGATCACTTAAATATCTAGGTGGAAAGGCAGATTAGCAGAGAGTCGAAGGCCATTTTACCGTGTAGTGATCCTTGCCAGGTCTGATGGTTCTTTTGAAGAGAGAAGTAGTGGATGGAGGCACTAGCCTACCTATTTTACCCATATTGCGCACGAATCATTTGCGATTAAGGTGAAAGTCGCCTGGCAAAACAAACCTTCGCATTCAAGCCACCGCAACGGACAGAGAGACCCGGCACGAATGAATGGCTGGATGGAATTGTAAGTGCAAGCGGATGAACGCGACCCCTCCATCCAACATGATTTGCAACGTAGAGATTCTCCCCTCGACAACCAAACAATTTATTGTACTCTCCCGTGTAATGCTGCAATACGGGTTTGCTAGGCGGCAGCAGTCTTCACCAGTTGAGGCTGACTAGTTTTCATCACTGAAAGGAGCCACTAATAAACTAAAAATTCAAAAGTTCTTTATTGCATCAATTGTATCAACTCTGCTGCACATGACTGATTCGCCTGCAGGGTTAACGTTGTCCACAAAAGCGGATTTTCCCTCCTCCTTACCCCTCACCATCTCCCATACCATCGCATCGTTGATGGAAGGCCTAATGGATCCGAGGTGGCTAGTATTGGGAGAAACAAATGAACACGTTGATCCTTGATAGATTGGTGGATAGACTGACGAATGACCCCGTGAATGAAAGTGGCCTACGTGAACGATTGGAAGGTTCTGGGATGGACAAATGGATCGACATATAGACGGGGGGATGATTAAATGATGCGCTTGAAGGAGGAGAATCTCCCCACGTACCACATCTGTCCCGTCAATCATCTATTTCGTTACTCCTTTCTCCACCAATTCAGCATCGAATGCATTAAGCCTCTCCAAAGATAGAGGGATCGTCAATAAGGGCGTGAGGTGGAAGCCAATACAGTAGGCATGACAGATTAATGTCACATTTGAGTACCCAAAGCATCCCACGTCAGCTCGCTTTTGGTTTGACCTTTTGCGACAAAAAATACTACACCTACACACCCATATCATTTTGCTCATACCAGCTCTCCACATTTTCGCCAACTGAGCACATTCAGCACTGCACCAATCACATTGCAGGAGAAGAGCAAGTAAATGAGACGGGACTGCTAAACTCAATCACAAACACACAAGAAGGCACTTGTTTGATAGGCGGGGCACAAAATGGATGAATTCCTGGGATCCTGGAAACTGGAGTTCAATGAGGGCTTGAACGAAATACTAACTCGTCTGGGTGCAGGCTACATCACTCGAAAAACGTTGAACGTCTCCAAACCCGTGCTTACCTTCGCTCGTGAACACGGACCCGGAGACCCTGAAGTGGGCGAGTGGTACTCGCTCAAAACGTTCTCGACGCTCAAATCCTCCACCATCGTCTTCCGTATCGGTTATACATTCGATGAGAACACCACGGATGGACGAACTGTGCGTACCGTGTTCACCGTGGATGGACAGGTCTTGAAACAAGAGCAGAAGGGGACAAAGACCGCGTATATTACGTACACAAGGGAGGGTGATTTGCTAAAAACGGTGAGTTAATCCATGTGTACCTTCCCCACTCTGAAATGGTATTTCTGTCAGTAACCTTGTAAAGACATCTAAATTGACATGAGATGAGGGTAGCTACTGCTTACCAATGAGCTAGCATTATTGCCCTGCAGAGTAAATTCCTCCCCCAATTTGACAATTAACGCTTTCATGAGGAGACCACATCTCAACATCAACCCCCCACTTCGGGTTGGTTTCTACGCGATGGTGCTGACCCGGTTCTGGCAGACAGTAACCACTCCGAAGGGCACACGAACGGTCGCATCGAGGCGTCGGTGCATAAAGTAGCCAAATAAATCCGTGTAGTGCTAAAAAGATAGCGAAATTTTCTTTTATTTTGCTCGTTGCAATCCACCGTTCACTGTCGACGATTTAGAAGCATACTCCTAGAAATGTGAGGAAAAAAAAAAGCACAACCCACTTCTTATTGATATTGCCGTGACATCTCTCCTAGTTGGCATACGAGTGTGTAATTGCTTAAAGCCAGTGCCAGTGACAAAAGAAGGTGATTAGCGCATGAAGAGATGTTATCTGGTATGGAGTGAGGCACTAGGTGTGTAAAACTTGTCAGGGGTAAGTTATGCCTTATGAGTTTTGCATAGTTGATGTAAGTGTAGACCACTGTTGCATCTTCACTCATGTTGGCTATCACTGACGGTTGCTCTTGGCACATGGACCTTGAATGGAGGTAGCCAAAACGACATGTGATTATTTATTATTCAAAACAAAGGGTGCCTCAGATCATTCTGCTGTCATTACCTAATATTACTATAATCCTTAAGATTAGAAATCATTTCAAATGGTACCTCCCACCATACCTTCACTAGATACCCTACAAAAAAAGAGAAGAGGAGAGCTTTTCCAGCTTTGGAGCCGTTCGTAAAAGCAGACAAGATAGAGTCATATCAGGCAATCACACCAAGCTGACATTTCCGAGAGGTGTGAACAATGTTTCATAAATTTTGGAGACTAAAACACCCGCGTAGACAAACATACAATTGTCGTAAGGCTGCACAGCCCTGTTTCTTGAGTCTGGCCCTAGTCTCAACCCATAACCAATCTCCCAATCGTGGGCTTTAAACGGCCAGGTAGCGTATAATCAAAGATGAACGAGCGAATTGTGGCTGTGGAAGGAATGCTACACATTGGTGACGGCAAACGACACAGGTGTGGTGGTTACCACCAGATATCACCTCTCGCACAAATCGGTCCACGCTGAGGTAGAACCCACTCGGGAGATGCAACCGAAGAATGGAAGACATTCTACTGGGAACCTGTTTCTCACATTAACAGCCTTTCTTAATGATGTTCGCCTCAAAGTGGCGGAAAAAATTCTCACAAATGATTGCACGCATCTCGTGTCGAATTTGGTATCGAAAGGGTTGGAATAAGATGCGTTATCTTTTGCTTATTCTTGTAAAGGAAGAATGAGAAAAAACATGCATTTTAAGGAAAACAATTAAGGGTATAGCTTAACGGTCTTAAATTATAGCTCCTCTTTGAGGTAGAATTTAAAAGTAGATAAGTGAAAATCGGGACGACTACGTTTCACTAATAAAATCAGTCAACTAACCTTATAAACATGATTTTGTGCAGAAAAACAAAAGCTAAAATATTTTAAAAGGCAAAACATTTGATTGTAAATGACAAATCGGCGTCTGGCAATGCTTATGAATTAAATAATCTTTTTAAAACGATTTGTATTTGCCAACATCTTGCCTTCATTGCGCCTGTCACTACTGCGAATTCACCATATTATTCTAAAATCAGTATTTCATTTACTCAAATGAAATAATGATCTTGATCATTCATTTTAAATCACTCTGTTGGTCAAAGTGGCAATTAGCTGGTGATTAGTACTAAAAATACACTTGTTTGCCGTTTGACGGGTTTGGTATATTACAAAAGAAATGCATGGACTTAAACATAAACAATATTTTGAGGTTGGAAATTCATGGTCCCGAAAAACGGGAAACCCAGTCCGCAGCACCAAAATCCGATTCTGCATATAAAAAAGTAGGCAGAACATGAGTTCTTTGTGGTAAATTGTTTTACCCAAGGCTTAAAATGTCAAATAATCCACACAAACTTTGTGGTCCTGATTGCCCTGGAAACCTTAGCCGTTGCACCATGAAGGTGGAGGCCCCACCCAAACCCCCGCATAGTTATAAAAGTGCGGCTTGCACACGAATGCATTTTTTAAGTTTCCTTCGGTAAAATATTCAAAATTTACTCGGATGTTTACTTTTTACAGACTTATTTTTTTCATTCCATATGTTTTAATCCAGTTTATTAATCTTTTTGCCCTGTGCAACCTACTTAGTAAAATTTTTTGGACAAATCGTTATTCCTAATCGCGTACTACTTGGAAAAACTTAGCAGGGGTAAAGGAAATAAATGGCCCTAGATTACCTTGCTGGTGGAGATTTAAAGCCATCAACCGAGGACATCTCTAACCGACTATTTTCTAACAGGAACCTGAAAGGTGGCTCCATCTAGACTTCTCAATTTGTTTGTCAGTCTTTTAGGACCCCTATTTAGTGTGCAAAAAGCCCAAATTATGGCGTTATAAACGATTAAAAGAGGTGATTAGGAAGAAAGTGACCGTCTTTTTTGTGGCTTTCTTTTATGATAGGTGATTAAAGTGGAGGACTTGACCTGTTTCCGCAATTATCGACGCGTCGTTCAGCCACCGCCAGCGAATGGTACAACACCGTCGGTGAGCACTGCGAAGTCCTCCGAACAACCAACTTCTCCTACTTCGATCGAGGAGTTGGATAATACTAATTCGACAAAATAAACGGCCCTAATGCTGTGGCGCCTTGACCATCAAAACTACTGTTTATGTTCTGCAATTCGCTAGGAAAATCCGTCAGCTCATCGCGTACATACTGATGAAAAGAAATAAACGGTGGGGTAGAAGATTTGTGGCATTCTTAAATGCACAACTGAAAAGTTTTCTTAGAATAAGGCTTTATAAATAAATTCATAAGATTTGGTGTAAGAGGATGTTGGAGGTTTGTGGCATAGTTAAATGGATATGCTGCAGAGCAGAGGTACTACACGTGATTATCAACGAGCCATGGAGTCAAAGTCAAAAAAAGCAGCGAATCATCACCTTTGCTTCATTCACTTTATCCATTAGTCAACACGCAGGATCCAAACGCAATTACATAACGCAGGGAAATGTGAATGCATTTGGCAAAAGCCACCACAATTAAATTTTGTATTCTTAACTTATACTAACATATTTTGTTGTAGCGATTTGGTATCCTTTTATATATGCATTTATCTGGTGGAACCCTTCATCCTCCACAGGCTGTAATTTTGCGTCGTAAGACGGACATAGAGGCATACCAGTGGGGATCAAGATCACCCATTTGTTAGTAACGTGTGTTCCGCGAAGTTTTAGAGAAGAGTTGGGACTTTACACCAATAGCTAAAACAAAACACCCACTACGAATGTTCGAAGTTGGAAAAACTTGAGAGAAAGCCTCAAATACGTATTTAGCATAGCGCTTTTCGATATGTGTATGGGCAAGAATCCATAGAAAAAAGTCATTTGCACTCAAGCTAAATTTGATAGTTCCCTACAAAAAATCTAAGAATAATTTTTGTCTACGCCCAAACTACCTATTAAAAAGGTTGCTCAGTCAAAATCCTGAGAGTAAAGACACATTTTATAAAAAACAATTTGATTCATTTTCTGGCATAACGAACAACCCTTTAATGCTTTTTGCGGCACATATGAAGGGGCTGGGCGTCGTTATTGCGCTCAATTTGTTACTTGTGTAAGCAGGGCCAGGAATAAAATTATTTGCATAAAATAACTTTGATATATTAAACCTATTTTTAAACATGTGAAATGGCATGAAAACTTAGAAAGCTATTGATAGGACTTGTATGATGTATGGATTTTGTAAGGCCTGTGTTTGAATGCTTGAATCTCATTGGCCAATTCAATCAAATACTGATATTGAGGGCGTTTATTTGTCACATTTGCTGTTTCTTCTCACATTAGGATGGCTTCTGCTGATCCCGGTAGTTTTCACTCGTCTTCTAATTTTGACGAGAAGTAAGGAGTCGCTCTTTTTTCTCATTCGTTGCCAGTGTTTCATTTGTGGGTAAGAATTTGCCCGCCAGACTGATAGGTTCTCCACTCGAGGGAATTCGAACTGTTCCGGACGAATCTGAGGTATTGGTTGGGGTTTTTTGATTTTTTTCTTTAGGAAATTGCAAAACTGAGACGGGAAAACTTCAAGCTTAGCCTTTTATGCTACAAGTACGAACAAATATACCAGAAGGGCTTGACAGATGATCCAGCAATGGTATGGTGTGATGCTCTGCTTCTCATTCCGATCTCTAGCGCATTACTGATCTCGAAAACGTGAATTCTCAGTTGGTGGATCAGTTGAATGTGAAGGCTCGCCTACTAGATAGCGCTTCGTAAGAGCTCCTTCCTTTTCGTTTAATCGATAGGAAAATGCTAACTTCTATGAAAAATGAGAACGACCAATTACGTGCGGATCTTGATGGATGGATAAAAAAATTTGAGTCCTGTGAAGGGGGTAAGTTGGTTTTGGTGGGATTTATTTCTCTTTTCTTAGAGTGGAGAAACAAATATGACCTATTGACCCTCGAGTTTCAGGAACTAAAATCATCTCAACGAAGAGCTGAAAGTAGATGTGAAATAATCGAGAATGAGTCTTCTAGACTCGAAACTACCAAAAGAGCGTAAGTTTATACTTCATTTGAGCTTCATGACCTCATTTTTGCTTTTATGAGGATTTGCCTTCTCTCTAGGGAAATTTCAGCTCTCCAACAGCAGCTAGTCGATGCTGAAACAAAAATTGCTATGCTGGAGGCAGAGTTGAAAGCATTCCCCCGTGAAGCCGTAACTTTTTCGCATCCAGGCAAGGCTCCTGCTCCCCGTTTCTCCGATATGGATGATAAGGAGAACGTTTCCTCTACTGCTCTGGAAACGCTGCGGGATCCACTAACATCACCTAACATAGCTGCGGATCAAAGTCTCCGACGCCATAATACATGCCAGGACACGATCAAGAACCTGAAGTATGAATGCGAGGCCTTGAATGCGGAGTTGACGGCGTGTAAACAGCTGCTCACCGCATCGGAATCGAAGCTCCAGTTGGTGATGGACCAATTAGAAGCTGAAAAGGCCTCTCATGCGAAGAATTTGGCACAGCGGAACGAAATTGAGCAAGCTCTGCACAGTCGTATCAGCGATCTTGTGAGTGATCGGAACTGCCAGGCGAATTTAAACGACATGCTTTCAGCTCAGTTGGCTCAGTTGAAGGAACACGATGAGCGGATCAAACGGGAGCACCTTCGACAGCTTGAGACGTTGGATAGGGTTTGTTTTTTTCTTTTCGGAATCTTGTGGGACATTTAACTATCTAATTGGTCTACAGATGCTGCAGGATCGCGAACGTGCGATCTACGAGTTGTCTACTCTAGCAAGTGGCAACCAACGCGAGGCAGGAGACCCTTCATCTCAATGTCTACCCGCTCCAGAGGATACAGCACCACTTGAAGAGGTGACGCAGCTCCGTCACAATGACTCCTCGACCATATTCGATGTGACTGCGGACCATCAAGTAACTGGCAATCAGTCTGGTGACTTGGCAAAATTACAACGCGAGTTAGCTGTACTGAGGGGCAGGTTGGTGGCTCAAGTTAAGGCGAATACGCGGCTGAAAACGGCCTACAATACTCTCTCGCATAGCATGATTAAAGCCCCAGTCGATCTCTCGCAGTCGGTCAATCCGTTTATTGCGGGTGAGCTCTGGTTCCACATCACCTCTATCTTTATAAGAGGTGGTGAGAGCTGCATCTTTCAATCCACATTTGTAGCGTACATTTATCGTGGGAATTGCAGAAAAACACGGAAATTTGTGCTTTAAGTTTCTATAATATGAGATAAAATCAGGATATAAATAGCCAGTTTTACAACGGGTCAGAATTTTGTGGAAACTCAAAAAATAACTCAACTTATGCTTATCTGACTAGTGTAAATGAGGTCATCAAAGACGGCGCTTTTTTATATAAAAACGATTCAATGTTTGCAAATAAACTAGCCATTAATCAATGCATTCAATCAAAAAGTGGGCTGTGATGTTGAAGAACATTTTAAAGAAGTGGCAATTACTTTAGTTGCCCCCTAAATTGACCATTTCACTTTGTTCTTTTACGGAAATAGCGGTTTTTTTGCCGTTTTTTTGCCGTCGAGGGGTGTTTGATCCATTTAGTCGAAATCGGCCTCGCTGTTGTCGACTTTGACTACCAAAACGTCTGACTTGGGCAAATTTTTTTGAACTTGTACGTTGTTAGGTTGGGGAAAATTGGGGTACTCATGCTCCGTCTTGGGTGTAGATGTAGTAGAAGGCACGAGGGTCCGTGGCACTTCTAAAAAACATATATTTGTCTACACTTTCAGCCAAAGTAAGTTATTTCCTGGTATTCGTTTGTCCTTGCATTTCTAGAAGCAACCGCTGCGAACGCTTCACGGCTGAGCTTCACAGCGGGTGCTAGCTGTGACGAATCCAGCCTAGGATTGGGTAGAGGGCTTTTCAATCTTAGTAACAACAAAGCATCCCTAGCGTTGGACAAGACCGTCTCTGAATTGCAGGCTACTCTTGGCAGACTTGAGGTGGAAATTTCAGCTGTGGAGGTACGTTTGACTTTTTATTTCCGTTTCCATCCATGCTTGTCCGCTTCTGAGCTCTGGGTACTGCTGTCGAGTTAGATCTCGCACTGTGCATCATTTTCTCAGTCGGAGAACGAGAAGGCGACTGTGGAGGCTTCAACCGACGCAGCCGCCGCAACTGCGACGGGAGCAGCGTCATCACAGTCGTTAGAACGACTGAAGAGTCTGCACTCCCTCATCAAGAATCTCCTTAACCAATTCGACAACATGCGATTCATTCAGCATTCCTTCCACGAGACGGTGAACCGCAGTCTCATGGCAACGAGTATGTGCATGGAGGCGAGTGCTCAAAAGGTTGTGACCTCTGTCGGACTCGAGGAGTCGCAAAATCGGTCCCTCCCCTCGTCCTTCTTCTGCGCCGCGGGTGCAGCTGAGATTTCGGTGATTCTTCCGCCTGATAGGAGTTACAGTGAGTGCTTAACCTTCGTTACCAACGTCCCATGCATCTAACGCCCTTTCGCAAATTAGCTCAGTGTCAATTGTGCAGCATTTGTTCTTTATTATTTTGTTATAATTGGCCGATTTTGACTGCCCCTCGGTGCCTTGTAAATAATTTTAATGTATCCAGTTGCCTCTCATTTAACGCCCCCAAAGTTCATTAGCCATTCATTCTATTTCAATGTAACCTTCACTTCTCCTTCAGAGGAGGAGCGCGATCCAGCAAAGGCAATGACCGACGCCCCATCGTTGAACCAACACGACAATACCACCTTCAACCTCTTATTACAGTACCGTCACCACGGCCTTCAAGCCGAGATCACCGACGATCTCCCCGACACCTCCACCTCCTTCTCCTGCCACAGTCTCGCACTCAGCGCTCGCACTGGCGACGTATCTTGTATGGAGGCGCACAACCGCCGTATCTTCGATCGCATCTCTCTTGCTGTGCGTCTATATTACCAGATTCCCTATTCAGATGCTCTATCCCACCCGCTAACTTGCTGCCACTGTATCCTCTTTCTGTTTTAGGTGGCACGGATCCAAGAAGCCGTCGATGAGTGGTCGGTCAAAGCTGCCACGGAAGTGCTGATGGCTCTTACTGCGCCTGAAAACGAGGGCACTGCAGCTGATGGCTCTGCTACCACCGCTGCTCCTTCGGTGCCTGTCGATGAGGTTATCGGGTTGGTGACACGGTTCGTCTCTGTGGTATCGCGAGCCCAGACACTGGAGGTGGCCGAGCCAAGTGGTCTCTTGGAGTGGCGGGATCTGGCGCACAAGTGGTTCTTGCTACTCATTGATGCCTTGCAGAAGGGTAGGAAAGAAGAGTTCGAGTCACCTGCTTTGTCCGAAATGCAAGTTGAATTATACTCGATCTTTTGGCTGATCGGTAGTCATTTGGCGTCCATGTTTCCCTTTTTTTCGAGTTATCTGAAAGTTACGGAAGGTCCTTGCCAGTTGACTACTACTTAGCTGTGGTTTTGGGCTTTCCTTTGCTAATGCTATGCATCCTAGAATCTGATACGGTAGCTGAAAGCCCACCTCGGCGGTTCCAGCGGGTGTGATTTTAACAGGGTCGCGGTTGGACAAACGAATTGGGTGATTTAGTGAAATTTCCTACCTTTGGATTAGTTGTCTTGACTTATCATTTCTCAATTGAACATATTTTTGAGTGACAATTCTTCCGATTTTACTTTGCTTACTACATGTAGCCAATGTTACCAGAAATTATAGTATTGTTTGCGACCTGTAGACCATTCTTCGTCATTGTTGAATGTCATGAACGGGCTTGATAGTTAACTCCATAATATCTGCCCCCACACATTACTTGCACATGTGATGCCACTAAATCCCAGGGGACTTGAAAATACACGAGACGACTGAATGATCTCATGGGATTGCCGGTGGAACGCGGTACAGTCACTTGCTGGGGCTTGTAAAACGCATACTTCAGTGTCGATGTGGCACTCGGCTCTTCTTCTGGCCTTGAGTCGGAACCGATGTGGTTTGAGCTTGCCCACAGTACGAACGAAGTTTAACTCCGTCCTAAGGTTGAGGCGGAAGTCAGCTTTTGTCCGACAGTCACTCAGGAAGACCCTCTGCCCTGAATAACAAGAAATAACTTCCCTCTTTTGGTCAACCTCATTTGAGATTCGCGTGTTAAGAGCAATCAGCAGCTGTTCCTAACGTGATTGATGATGCAACAATTGGTGCGCTTCCACATCACCTTTGAAGGATATGTCGTGACGGTGGCTGAGCACATGACTGCCGCCCTGATGCCATGGATTAGCAGGTAGTGGGTAGTGGGATTGAGAGACCATGAAGTCATTGTTGTTCCTTCATTTCCTTCACGTGCGTGTAGGGTGGTTTGCTGACCGCGTGACTGATCCGGAAGTCATCGGTTATCCCTGAACCACCCACTTACAGGTCGTCTTCGAGGTCTGAAACACTCCAGTCCATGTCTAAGAGATTGTGCTTTGCGTGTGTGTGTGTGTGTGTGGTGGACTGTAGTAGATGCAGTTGGTCATGGTGAATTGCAGACTTACAGAAGGTCATACAGCACTGGTGGCTGAGGTCTGTTCACTCGATGAAATTCGATGCAACTAAAGGGTGTTCAGGAGGAGCTTCTTTGAGGACTAGTCAATTGGTCGAAGAGAGTGCTACGCTTAAAAGACTGTGCAGGACTCCTTTCTTCATTACCCGTGAGCGGAATCCATAACGCATTTGAGGAATGTGCCGCTCCCCATTCTTAGTCTTTTCCTTCCTCAGCTGTCCGGTGGACAGATGAGGATCACGATAGAAAAGAACAAAGTAGACATTTTGAAGACCGCATTGGGAGACTAAGTGCTGTTTTTTTTTCGCTTCTAGAGACAAACGTAGAATTCACTCTAGGCCTGTATGCCATTAAAAAGGGCTTGGATTGTGGATTGCAATGTTGATTGCGTTAGCGAGTAATGGGTCTTTAACGAGGCTTTTTTGTGCTTACTTCATGTTTTCTGTTGGGGAAGTCGGGTGAACCTTTTTCCCTCCTCCATAAATGCCCTGGTGATCGACTATGGAATGCTAGCGGCGTTGATTGTGGCGCTTGATGTATCCATCCACTTGCATTCACGAAGTGTGGAACTGCACTTTCTAACTAGTGTACGATTGATCATCAACTTGTGCTTCTTAATTATTTCCCATTTCCACCTCCATTCAGTGACTCCCAGCTGGGGCTGCTTGAGCACCAATTCAACGAAGGCTTTGTGCATCTAGAGACTGCCTCGGCCGACGTTTCCGCTCCTCGCCATGAGGTAAGTTGACCTACAACTTTCCAATGTCACCGCTCCATCACGCGTCAAATAACTAAGGTTTGGTGTTTGAGAGCAATCGCGTTGAGCCATTTGAACATAAGGTCACAGGTATGCTTTGTCACCACATCTCAAGCAAGAAACTCGCGGGTTATTTTGGCCAAAAAGGAACCGTATTCTTCAATAGACACATTGCTAGTCAGTGAGTGGAAGGCGAGGTATCTGAATTCAGCGATGGCTGTAGAGATGAAATATTGCAGTCTCGACCATTTGACACATCTTTTTCCATTGATCAGTTCTTGTGGTGAAAAGCAGACGTGGAGTTGCTGGAAGATTAGAAGCATAAGGGAGACTTGTGGTTGATTAGAGAGGGTCCGGTGAGTGATGCACACAATTCATACAGGTGTCTTTCACATCACAGCAACCAACATCAACAACAGCTGTAGCAGAGGCGCAGACGCCTCCACCGGCACCTAGCGTGCCACTGAAGGATCACGAAGCGGCGCTGTCGAAGTACGCGGCACGTTGCGAGCAACTCGCGTCGGCTAACGCAGCACTGCAGGCTACGTACGTGCAGGTGTCGGAGGAGCTGGAAGCGGCCTACCGCAAGCATGCTGACTCCATTGCAGCTATTCAGGCTGCCGCAGCGGCCAAGGAGGTGGAGTTTGCGGAAATGGAGCAGAGCCTTAACCGAGCCCAGGCTAGTGCTGCGGAATTGGAGGCAAGGGTGGTTGAGTTGCAGGTACGGACTGCCGTCCTTTTTCCCTCTGGTTTTGTTCCTGCATCGCTTCTCTATCTACCCTCCCGTTATTACCAAATTCTCACCTGCCGCAAATCCATCCATTCATTCCATGTTCGTGTCGGCACCGACCCGGTTGCCTAGCGCTTTGGAACTACCAATGCCTTCGTCCCATTTGCAGACCTCGCTAGCTGAAAATACGGAACGCGCGTCCAGTCTGTCAGCGAAGCTGGAGGAGTCGCTAGGGGACCTTCTGCGCCTTCAGGATAAGCTCACCGCTTCGGAGGCACAGTTGAGTGAAGAGGCCAGGGTAAGTGTTTGTTTTTTGGGTCAAAGGTCAGTGACAACTTGTTTTTTCCTAGTGTACGCAATATTTCTTTCCTCTCTCGCCCCTGATAGGCGCACGAAATGGCGATAGAGGCGGTGACGCAGAAGTACTCAACTCTCCTTGAATTGGCTGAATCGAAGCTTGCGACCGGTAAAGTGGACCCTTTTCCTACCCTTTAGATTTTTTTTTCTTACGCGTCATTTGCTGTCAAAGTAGGGGAGTTGGGGGGGGGGGACGATTTTGATAGGGTCTGAAAAGTGGCCCGACTTTCTTCTTGTGCATGCGAGGCAGTTAACTTGGCTGGCTCGTTAACGCCACCGTTGGTGCCATTGGTTGGACAATAAGGCCTCTGGGCTATGATGTAATTTCTCCTGACGTCTTTCTTTCCTCCACGGTAGCCGAAGACCAGTGCCAGGACCTTTTGGCCCATCAGGAAGAGTTGATGGCAGAGGTAGAGGCCAAGGATGTCCGTGTCGTCAGCCTCGAGGCCGATCTTGAGTCGGTTCGCATGACCGCTGCTGAGACACAGGTGGCACTGGATGCTCTCAGGCGTCGAGTCATGGATGCCGAGAAGATCACAACTGCAGCTGCCACCAACACCACCACCGTGGCTGACGACGCCAACGGTGAGCTAGACGAGACCATGCGAGAGAAGGCCCGCAAGTATCCCGAGCTCAAAGCCATCGCCTTCGATCTAAAGGCGAGGTTGGGGAAGAGGGCAGAGTTGCTGGAGTCCTCAATGAAGGAAACAAGACGGTTGAAGAGGATTGTGATGGACAATGAGAGGCGCGCAAAGGGATTCCTGGAAGAGTTGGAAAGGTTAAGGCAGCAGATTTTGATGAAGAACGCAATGATTAAGAAGCTGGAGACGTTGGCTCTTTCCTGTCATGCGAATGGTGCCTCTGCTGCCGATGGAGGTGCTGGACCATCGTGAGTTTCTTTATCTATTCAGAAATCTGCTTTTTTTTTCCAAGCATCTCTGATCTACCCATCTGAACGTTTGTTTATTCAGATGGGTCTGTATTTCCATTTACTTGTTCATCCATCTCCTCAAAACCCTTTCACTCTGCACCACCCATCCGACTTACCATTTCCGCTTGACACCGCTTTCTTCTTCATTCTGTGCCAAGACTTCCCAAATCTGCTGCAGCGGTTGTTGTAACCAAGGTAGGGAAGAAGGACAACGAAGTTGACGTTGAAGCAGGCGTCAGGGCAGAAGACGACGCCTCTCCATTGGAGGACCGCCGGGGCGTGAATGATAGTCAGAGCCCGCAGTTCCAACTGCGCTCTGTGGAAGATGTCGCTGTCTCCTGTTGCAGAATGAATGCTGGTGGCTGTGGAAGTGATGCTGATGACGGTAGGAGGAGTGTCACTTTATTTCGTGGGAGATACTATGCTCCTGCTGCTGCTGTCAGTGCTACTACCAGTGCTTCTCTTATGTCGCCTTCGAAGGCGTACTCCCTACCCCAGTGGTGAGTTTTCACAGACGCGGACACCTGCATAGTCGATAAGTCCGTTAACCATCGTTTCCGCCTTCCAGCGTCGACGGAGTGAGCTCCTTGATGGCGAATATCGGAGCAACGGTGCGCGAACTCTCCACCCGCCTGGAGTCCCAGCATATCACTTCCATAGAGACGGAGGGAGAGGTGGGAGAGGCGAATCATCAGGTGGTGACGAGTGTGGATACCAGCGCCTCCCTGATGGACGAGCTCACTCTCCCCTCCACCACCACACCCAGCTCCCTCTCCGTCTCATTCCCTGACCCGACTCAGCCTTTTGCGGTGAGCTGCATGCGCACTCTGTCTCCTGCTGTTGCTTTGGTCTTATTCCTCACCTCATTTATTGTGTCGTCAGGCGATTGCGGACTTGCAGGACTACCTGAACCGGTGTGCCGGCCAGTTGACCAGCCTCTTCGCTGCGCTGATGCAACAGTTGGAGAGCCTGCTTACCTCTGTTCAAGCGCCCAACGCTGCTGGTGGGTTGTCTACCGCTCCACTCGTATTCTCATTCATTCTCCAGGCTAATTTGAACGTGTCAAGTCGATGGCTTGTCTTATTCCGTCTTCTTGAGTTGTGACAGGTCACATTATGCTTGGCTGAACACGAGTTTAACTCCCTCGGTGCAGACCCCACTTAATCCACTCGTCATGATGCAAGGCCAGTGACTGGGGCAGTTGTTGGACAGTGGAAGTGATTTCGGTGGGCGTTCTCTTGTCAGTCTCCAGCCGCCACGGATTCGGTTATTGATAATAGGTTTCCACTAAGGAAAAAGTCTTTGTGAAGTGGCACAGGCGACCGACTCACCCTTGAAGGCAATGCTGTTAGGGTCTGCGAGCTGGTGTGTCCCCTATTTCCAGCTTATCGGAAGTGCTGAGTGCCTACGGTGACCTCAAGACCAAGATCGTCGTGGCAATTAGGCTGAGACGAGTGCGACAGACCGAAGCCATCAAGCTGCAGAAAGTTGTTGGGGTTTAATAGCGGATTCGACTGACTACTGTGTGGGGCCGCCTGTTATAGGCTGCAGCTCTTGACAACGCCAGAAGGTGGCAGATTGGTATTTAGTTTGTCCACCTGTTCACTGCGGTTTTCCCCCTTCCTTGTCCAGGTGAATGTGCGTCGTCGGACCACGCGAAAGCTCGCAGACTGATTCGCCACAGTCTGGGTCATTTCAGCGCACTGCTCAATCGGCATCCGGTAAGTTTGCCCCATCTTACATCGTTCCCTTCAATTTCCATGAAAGCATTTGATCGACCTTTCCTGGCTGTTTTTTCCCAGACGAATACTCTGATCTCCCATGTGGTGGAAACGCTGGCCCAGGCGCTTCGTCTTCTACACCACACTGCGGCTGCATCCCTCACTGCTTCATCATCATCATCTCGTGGAAGCAATGATGGCAGAAAGGCAGCCTCGTCTTCCCCCCGCCCCGTGGTCACAGCAACTACCCCGACTTGCAGCTGTTCATGTCGCCGTCGGTGCAGTCAGATGGCTGCCTCGGTGCAGGAGCTGACGGCTCTGCGTGAGTGCCTCCCAGATCCATCCATCCACCCCATCCACTCGGCTTTCATAACTGTTTTCATTTCTATTCTGCTCCTTTTCCTTTGTCCTTTTCAGTGACCAACACTGCAAATGCGCTCTCCAGACGTGGCAGTCACGAGACGATTGACGAGGTGACGGAGGTGGGGCGAGGGTCCACCACCTCCGTTTGACGTCTTTAATCCGTTCCCCTTGAGACGCTTTTTGTACTCCCAGTGATTTTCGTCCTCCTTTTAGTGCTCTGTACAAATTCGTGTGTGTGTGTGTGTGTGTGTGTGTAAGTGTCCCGACTTTTTACTATTTAACTGGACGCAGTACTTTATGTGTTAATGCCAACTTTCTGATTCCTGAAGGCGAAGGAAAGGGGGAGACAGATTGTCGATTACTGTCCTTGAATTTGTAGCTGGGTTTTATCTCAACTGCTGGAGCTCGATTGGATTTTCCTTTTATGCGTCCACTACTGACAAAAGTCACTTTCCCAGCCGCCGTGGATTCATGCATCCAACTCGGCTCCTTCCACCCGCCTACCCGTGAATCCGTCGGTACGTTCGCCTAGTTGTTGCACTACTGATAAGTTTTTCAGTAGGCAAAAGAGGAGGTAGCTTCCTACAAGCGGATGATGTCTGGCATTTCAAAGGTGCCCATCGGAAAAGTGGTTCTTCACTGCTCACTTGTCACGTTAAGTACCTTGCAATCTGTTCGTAGTTAACTGATTTCTGCAGCATTAGGTAGCAAAATCTCCCAAAGTGGGGGGTTCCGATGTCCGAAGTGCATCACGACGGCACAATCCGGAGTGGATCGCGGATGTCAGTATTTGCCCCTACCTCATCAGTTACGTTGATGCAGAGCGCAGGTTACATGCAAATAAGAAAGGTCGCATTGGCTACTTTCCATTGAAGGGCTCAATACGGAGAAGCTCCCATTACGGATGGATTTCTTTTAGAAGGGAGCGTCCGCCTATAGTAGGCTGCTGCAATGCGCAGGTTTCATGAAATCAGGAAGATTATCAAGGAAGAGGGGCCACGATCCAGTGAAAAGGCGAATCTGAAGGTGATATCTCCATAAACGGATGCAATACAACTGAAGTAATGGAGAAAGTCGTCAGGAGATATGCTGCTAAAGTTGAGCAAGGCTGCGTTACTCGACATTGGGATAAGAGATGTGGTTTGATGCGGCAGCAATTGTAGCTGGTGGAATGTAATCGATGGAATTAGGAACGCGAGGGTCTGGTCAGGATGGTGGTGCGGAGACGATACTCGAAGAAATGAGCCAGAGACATGCAGAATTGTGGCAGGTAAAACAGATGGCAAAGCACATAAAAGATTGCACTTGAACGATTACGCACACTTATTTGGACGCTTCGCTAGTGCTTCAGGCCTTGGGGACTCCTAAAAAGCGGGAGCACTGATGGACCAGTACGCATAGGGGCAAGCGGAGACCCACTTTCCTCGCAAAAGCCGAGTCCACACATCAGTCCATGAAGGCTGCAACAAAATTCTTCACAAAAAAGAAGACTGAGGGACTGACCATAAATAAATTTGCAAATTCACCTGAAACGTGGTGCTGCATCGCAGTTATTAGTGGGATTTCATGAGAAAATTTTGACACGCATGCAAACATCTACAACAAAAGCTTGATACTCAATCTTCGGATATATGCCAAACAAGTCATCAGTGATAAGTGAAGACAAATTCTCCGCTTAGACAAAAGCTTCTTTACTAAGTAATGAATTCTCAGTGAGCTTGTATATTTTTAATTGGATATGGAACTAAATTGGGCCCTTCAGTCGACGTGGGCTGTACTTCCGTCTGACCACATTAGCGGCTTCCCAGGCCTCCTACGCGCAAGTAGGTCGTAGGCTCTCCTATAATAGAATGAATTGTCTCGACTCTAAAATTAGCAGACAAAGCAAAATATTTATAAGATGACAGACTAATTTGTGCAAATATTGGTCCTTAAATCAGAGAGAGAATAACGTGGTTAAAGCAGGTTAGATAATAGAAATGTCATAAAAGGAACTTTTTTAGATAAGTGATATTTAAACAGTCAAAATAAGTTTTAGCTAGTCATCAGATAAACACACTGACTTAGGAAGAACCAACTTCGTCGAAATATTGTGCACGTTTTTTGGCTTTATTTTAATTAAAACTGCTTTATTATGCCGAATTAACTTTTTAATTTACTTGATTTTGTCAATTTTTTTTGAACGTGTCATTTTTAACCTTGAGTTGTAAGTGCGCTAGGCTTAAAGTTTGCCCTCGGGTTATCTGTAGTGCGTTATAAAGCCACTGGGCTTGGCCTAGATGCCTGTGGTTTTTTGTGGTTTGGGGGTCCTTATCTGAATCGGGTATACATACACATAAGTAGAATAATGGCGAATAGAAATAACAGACAAGACACGAAATTGAACGAGCGTATTGCTGCAATCCGCGAGATAAATGCTCGCCTAGAAAATCGGCATAGGGTAACAATAATTCGCTTTGTTATTTTTTATCCACAGGAAGTTGAATTGGACAGGAGACGCGCTGTTGAAACTGGTAGCTCCATTCTTCCTTCGCAAATACGGGTATTTGTATTTAATGTTTGAATTTTTTACTTAGATTACAATTTCTCGACAGGATGTTCCCTTAAATCGCAATGGTACATATGATGGTGGAAATTGCAGAGGGAAGGTGTGTCAATGCGTTTCTTTGCACATGTTTAGCTCAAAAAATTATTTTACTGCTTATGGTAATTCCTTCCAGCAGCCGAGACAAAATTACCGATCCCGGGGTGGTGGCGGTGGCGGTAGTACCAGCATTGGATACAACTTATCAAAAAGCTTGTAGGTGGCATTAGAACAAAGAAGTGCACTTTTTATCAATATGAGTGAAAATTTTTGCTGCGTTAGGTCGCGTCTTCATCAGGACACTAATTACAATTCCCAACCACACTTCGCCAATAATTGTCCAAAAGGCCGCGGAGGCTGCGGAAGGGGCAGTGGTAACAACAGCTCGGAATATGTTCGCCATGTTGAAATCGACCGCTCTGGAGGGAGGGGTAAATGTCAAAAATACCATCAGTACCAAAGCAATCGGAATTACCGTGGTGCGTCCAATTTACTTCAATATTCTGCAAACTTAGCTAATTATCCCTTTATTAGCTTATTTCGAGGCAAAAAATATTTTCTTTGGTTTTTTCTGCATATACTTTTCTACTTAAGAAGAACGCTTGCATTTGCATGTAACCTTGCAGACCTTAATTAGGTTTTACCGTTTGATGAGATAATAAGGTCATCGGTGCGCAGTAAAGTAAAAGTTACTTTGGCATTTTAGACATACTTCTGGCCTAAAGGTGTTGTCCACGAATCCATATATGTTTTTTGTTCATTTTGTAGGCCTAACACAAACTTCACTTCCCCTTTCTTAAAAGTGCACATCTTGCAGTTTGAAGTATGGGTGATTCATTCGCAGTAGACCTTAGACTTTGTCTCACATGAGTGTCGAACTGTGCACTCTCCCGTCTTATTCTCGGTTGTTGTTGTTGTTATTGCTTTTTTTCCAGTGACTCTGCAACATCGCTACTCTTTACCGGGCTGCGAAAGCCTAAATTTATTCAGTTATGCATAAAGCTTCCTAATATAAACGCTTCCAGCGTTACATACACACACACGTGATGCCACAATTTTACCCATACATTATTGAGCTGTTTATCATCTTCAAGCAAATCGGTTGCACCACTGCGTGTGTTAAACGGATCTGTTGATTCTGCTTTCTTCTGCACGCACAGGTCATTGTCGGATTGACTACCCGCACTTCTTTCTAGGATTGACCAAAGTCTGGTGCCCTGACACCTAGCATCGCTCCGCACCTACGTGTTTACCGACAACGCTGTGGCCACAGTTGGCACACGTGCATGGTCACACAGGTGTCTATCTCGGCCAACTGTAATTTTTTTTGGGATCACATTGAGAGCTGTTTTATTTGACGCCGGAAGCACCTTTCTTTACTCCCCTTTGGTGGTTAGGTCGATGGCGGTAGGTTACAGCTCCTTCCTTGTTCTGTCATCAGATGTCCATCCATTCTGTGGACTCACTGAAATTTTCACACTGCGGCAGCATGACTTTCTTGCGTTATTTTACCTTTTTCAAATCACTAAAGGCCATTAGGGCTAAGGTTGTGGGTACAGTCTCTCAAGATTTGACTTCCCCCACTACTGACATCTCAGCCTCGAACCACCTCTTCGAAGGTGTGATTTTTCAGTGGTTCCATATTTGGATGAAAACCTGAAAAAGAATTTACCTCAACTAAACCTCCGATTAGTCTCATCTTCACTGATGTTGGATTCACACTTAATGCTATGCGCATGTGTTTTGGGGGTTGCACTTCACGAGGGCGCATCCGCTATGCGTGTGATTTGACTTGTCCTCATCATACACACACACACATACCACCTCTGATTGGTTATTCAGTTTGACAAGAGTGGGGATAATTTCGCTGGGCTACCCTCTGGACATACATGCGCTCGCCTATTTACTACTGCATACTACTTATAAACTTGAAGTGCTTTTATCCCACGTCATTTGTGGTGTTTGACGTGTGTGGTCTGTTACAATACCAGGGCTAACGTATTCAGTGGGCTGGTCAACAACTAATCTACCGAAAGTGGTGTCATTTAATGGTGTAGCTGCCAGCGTCACGTATATGTGACATCATTTGTTTATCAGTTTAAAATAGCTATTTGTATCAAATCATGTCGCAGACTGATTGACTAAGCTTAAGAGTAAATAAATTTGGAGTATTTTACCTTTATTGTTTAAATGCTGATGGAATTCCCACTTCGGCACTGCTGTTGTAGTCGATTTTCTCCAACATTCTCATTGCCTATGTTTCAACCTACACCATATCGTAATGCCTAAACCGATTGTTTTACATGAGAAATAAAACTTTTTTCTCGAGATTCACTTGCATTTAGGTTGTGTTTGTTTTGGGACGGAGAGGATTAAGGCAATCTTATACACTACTGACAATTCTCCATTTAAGTAACTGTGGGGCAAATTGTCCCATAAAATGTTTTCTTTTACCACCTTTTTGAATTGAATGTTTGCGCAGTGTTTGCATTTACACTAGGCCGATCAGTGAATTTACGAAAAGCACGTGAACGATTTAACCCATGGATGCGGATGATAGCACAACAATCACGGTGTGCGTGGTACCAGTGAATGACATGTGTGTGTGTGTTTGCGTGTGTGATGTGGATACACACTGCCTAAATATTCACACAGCTGCATCAAAATGTCTGTTTTGTTTCGCCTTCCTCCTCCTTTTCGCCATACTTTACGTGAAGACTTCCTGCCCCATGAAGTGCACCACCTCACATTGTGTGATGCTAGTCGAAGTGGGCTTGTGCATGTGAATTCATTTCAAATGCGTTTTTAATGGAAGAATTTTTTTTTTTGATAGTCAAGTGTACTGCAACTGAGGTGTTTGGGAGGCAGACAAGATTCTGCTGTAGGCACACCCCCTCAGTCAAAATTGCCTCATGAGAACACTCGGTGGAAGTAAAAGTGTGCCTTTTGGGGCTACTCTTGTATCCCTGTAATAACGTGGAAGGTGGGCAGATGTCAGGTTCTTACATTTGATGCTTCATTCACTCTTTGAAATAATTCATTAGAATGTGCGGAAGTTGACCTTCAGTGGTGTCTCTGCAGAATTAGTTAATTTATCTGGACTGAAGCCTTCTTTGAGGCCTCTTTTAAAGTTTTTATGCTCCCTACGAATGCTAAAGCATGTCAAGTCTATCCAAGCGTTAGAAGGAAGCTTCCTGCAACCCACCAATTGTTGATGAATATGTGCCGGTCTGTTGATATGGCATTCTAGTGTGCTTGAAGCTTATCTAGGTTGAAGTTGCTTCTAGAAGAGGCTGTGATGCATAGGCGACTGAATTTGCAGCCCAGAGATGGGCGTGATCCGATCTTTGGCAATGTGTCAGAATCAGGGGCCGATGATGAACAATCCTGCGTTCCTATTGGTTGGAATACATCAAGATTGGCGCACTTGGGGAAGGCGCGAATGCATGGCGCTCTAAAACCTGCCATTTTGTTCTTCACTTCCTTCACTGTACTTAAAGCAAACTCTTTGTAGACTTTTTGCTAACTGATTGCCCTATTTGTGATCAGTAGTTGAACATACCATTCCTTAGTCCTGAACTGTTCACTCATTAGGCGGCACTTTATACCTTGACGACAATACTTTGGTGCGCTGCAGGTGAAATTTTTCGAACGCCAAAGAATAATAAGGGTTGAGACCGACCGATCTGATCTGTTCGATGAATCTCGAATGTGTGCAGGAAGAATTTTCTCTTCAGCAGTAGACAGGACTAGCCATTTGTTTGCCTCCACTTAACGACGTAGAGAGGGATGCTGCCTCATCCGAATTCTCTCCACATTTGGCTTTTTTTTTCACCCTCCAAGTAGTAACTACTACCTTTACTTGTCAATGGCACTGAACACCCAAATGCGAAGACGACTAGGCACTTGGTAAGTAAAAGTGACGTAGGAGTGGAAGTCGCTTTTTTTCCTCTCGACTTCTGCAAACAGAAGTGGAATTTGCAGCACGTTTGTTTATCGTTTAGGGGAACAAGAATGAGATTGGATCCATTTTGTGATTAATCGCACGAATGGGGGCGCTCTTGAAGAAGTGCCTTTTTTTCCACTTTCCCCCTCCCCTCCCTCCGATTGGTGGTGGGAGGGGGGATAGGATGACCACTCAACCTTCTTCACGTAGGTAGCTTCCTGATCTCTCCTGCCTGCGTATTCAAGTATCTCATTAAGGTCTGTTGTGATCCAGGCTTTGCCGTCCTGTGGTGAGGAAGAACGCACCGAAATGACCTTCAGACCTCTGCTCTGCCAATGAAACAGCTCCAATTGTTTGCACACGGTTAAATGAGCATTTTGGTGGCTCTGGATTACGTAGTCTCATCCCTTTCTCCCTCACTCACTCGCCTTTTTTTTCCTCTCCTTCGTTCTCCTGCTTGTACATGCCTGCCTTCATGCATGTGTTCTCAGGCCTCCACCAGAAAGTGAGCCACGACGTCGTGGGAAACTGATGGACTGTGCCACACTGAAACGCAACATTACTACCTACTAGCTCCACTGCCTGATGTCGATGTGCTCGGGCTTGAACGATCGTTGCATTTGTACAAAATATAATCCGTCCTTTTTTGAGCGAATTAGGTTAACGAGAAAGCCTTTGAAGTGGAAGGCAAAAAAGTGCTGGTTGAGTTTAATCAAATCGCCCACCTAACCCTCCTCCTTCAAAGTCATGGCCGATTTCTAGGGATCGGTCGGATTTAACTACCGCCTGCGCTGGGAGTTGAAAGGCCTGGTTAAACTGGGGTTGAGCGGTGAAGAGGCGGGGTGGGGGCCCGCCATTTGCTTTCACGACTTACATTCTCTTATTTAAGTGGATAGGGAAGTGGAATTGAAACTAGATGCATAAACTTCCTTCATTTTCTTCTGTCTGCAGGCTTTTCCCTTTTTATAACCACACTCTCCTATGGCCAGGTCATGTAGGAGTTGTTTCTGTGGCTTCTGGAAGTGCATCCATGCCAGACCTACACATCGTCTAACAACGTCTAATGATGTGCAGGCAGGGTCTTGGTTATTACAAATGGAGTTTTGTCAAGGTCTCTGCGAGTTTGTGTTCAGGTCAAACTGTGACTTTTTGGGTTTTGAAAGGACGGAGAGATTAAGCAATTTTGCGCCTAATCTCCTGTTGGTAGAATGATTTATCTGTTGGTGCAGAACCGTCCTAGTGCAGCCTCATTCACGCCGACGTGTGTGCTGGAATGCTGACCTTTGAATAGCACAGAGAAGGGATGTATGTCTTGCACACTTTCGTTCCATGGCGGGTGGTTGCATGGCTGTCAGGCGTTCAGGAGCAGTAGTGGTAAGCAAGTGTGTGAAGGAACAATTCACAGGACTGCCTGGCTGACGGAGCTGACGAGATGTAGGATCGACCGTCTTTGAAGCGGTTACACTGTTCAGCGGATCAGATGTCTTGTTGTATCCGAGCTGATGTGTTTAAAGTCTTTTCTGTGAGGAGCAGGAGGTTATTGGCGGGCTGCTGACAGGCGATGCCAATGACCACGAGTTGTTGAATTCGCCCTCGTGGTCACACACTCCTGCAGCGATGTAGGCAGGAACACGTGCACCTGAAATGGAATGGTACAGTCTCGGCAGGGTGGTAATCTGCGATTGAAGACACTTGTCAGCCAACCGTGCGTGTGTGCAGCACCGCCGTGGTATCATTGCCGTTGAAGAAGTCCTGCTTTGACGCAGGCATTTCTCCCCGTACCAACAGGTTACATGGAAAGGTAATTTACCTGCTGTTTGAAAGAAAAAAGGGAAAAAGAAGAAGAATGCATACTTCCTGTGCGGGTGTCACCTGGTTCTAACCTTCTCCCTTTTGTTGTAAATCATCATATGTGGCCCCCACTCCACTTATCAGACACAAAGTGTGCGGAGGAATGTATGCAACATTAAACTGATGTGTTTATTCAATTTTGGCACACATTTCTGCCCATTCTGTTCCATTCCGTTCAGTTCACCAGCATTTTGTGAGTTCCGGCCCATAATATGCCTCTGATGGAACCCGTAACCCACTGATATAGGAGATGAGATCACTCGGATTGTAACCTGTTGCGACAATAGAAAGTGCACAGCGCGAAGCGCAGGATTTTATGCTTTCGTTATCAACGTCGCATATATGTGACACCATGATATTCTTTATTGGAACCTCTTAATTGTTCGCAAGACCGAGACGTGTGGCGTGAGCGGATCACCAGAATCAAGTCAACATCAGATACTCCCTTTTTTGCCAATCGGCGCTATATTTGGGCAATGGGACATTTTTTTCTGTCTTGGCCGAGAAGTTCAAATTGTCATCTT